TTCCTTCCTTTCCTCTCTTTTCGATCTCCTTCCTTCCGGCCACCAAATCAGCAAATGAATATCTCTAAAAAAAATATCTACTCAACGTGAGGAAGAAGATTTATAGCTTAGATTGAACTGAAATGTGTCATTTTGAGGGAAGAAGCTGAAAGTTTTGGACACCTTTTTCCGAACAATTCACGGCCGTTTCAGCAAGCCTTTGACAAACAGGTGGAGTACCCCAAATGACTCCTCTCTTCTTCCTCTTTCATTTGATGGCCTCGCTCGTCACTGTTAATAGCCGGAATCGGAAAACCCAAAATGGGTATCCCCGGAACCCTTTTCCGCCCAATTTCCGGCCCAACTGGTTCAGGGACCCACCTGATTTTGAACACATATTTAGTGATCTCTTTCATCGAAACGAATAATGATGTATTGGTTTTGTCAATTTTTGTGGTGAAGGTTAAATTTCCGCGCCACCGTGCACAGGTTGCGGCCGGCGGCTGAGTCCGCGCGACGCGGCGAGGACTCGGCGAGACTTCAAGGCGGGACAGAATGGCTCTCTCTTCTGTGCGGAACACGGAAATGAATGTTGATTTTAAAAATCAGTACACTTTTAAAGCATTAATCCGCAATTTTTGAATAGTATAATCTAAATTAATTTAATTAATGAAAACTTAATTAAAGTATTTAAGTAAATTAATTAAAATTATTAGAATAGATTTTATGAATATTAATTATTAACTTATAAGGTTGTTACAAAAAAAAAATATATTCCTAGCTAAATAATAAATTTTTTAGGAATTTATTAACAAATAAAATAGTTATAGAAAACAAACTAATTTAATGGATTATGTGAATTAAGTGGACGAATAAATGATGTACTTATTGGCGGGACGCGGGATTGTGGATATGAATTTGCCCGATGGATGCGCTGATGTGTTGTGATTTGTGGGAAAATTTGAAAAAAATTTGGATAGGTTCTAATGTTAGAGAAAAGCTTGTCGAATTTTTAATAAAACAACTTATAAACTTAATGAAGAATTAAATTAGTTATATTCTTAAGAAGTAGTGACGACAAAAATTTGAAGTATTAAGAAATATTATACAATATTAGAATTATCATTATACAATATTTCTCACCGAATAATTAGAGATTTTATCTAAAGGTTATAAATTAGAATAGTTATTTATATAAATGAGAGAACCTAAATATATATGCTATATAACAAGTGAATTAAATGACTGGTAGCCAAAATAAATAAACGAATGTGAAATATAAGTTTTTGAATTAAAATTCTTATTTAGAATTTTCTTGTTTATTTTAAAGGTTTATAAAATACAAAAATACCAAAATGCGAGGGACAAAAGCTGGAATTTATTTTGTGGCTTAAAAAAGCAGTCCTTTTAAAGGACAATAAAGAAACTGGAGTAGTGGTTAGATAGACTAGCATCATCCGCCTGCATTCATGCATTTTCACCGGACTAAAATGTTATCCAATTGCCATTATAATTTGTTGGAATTGCCAATTTATGAGCACTATTCGTTGATATTAAAAAATTTTTTGATTACTTGTGCTAATATACTGCGCTTGTTGTGTGAATTAGGATGACGTGGGACCACCATGGGTTTGTGAGGCACCGGTCTGTTGATATGGATCCTGAATGATGAATGATATGATATTTGGACCGTCGGCCGGGAAAAATGCGGCGAGTCGGCGCCCCCATGTTGGCACCTGATGATATGAATATGGAAAAATCACAGATGGCTTCTTGTTGTGCCAACCTGAATAATCTAGATTTGGACTGTAGCTCGCCAGGGTGGGCCTTCCTGTGTGAAGCATCTGCGAATGATCGTAGGATTGGATGGGAGGACCACCGGGTTGCCTCCTGTTGTTTGGTATGCGAAAAGAAAGACGAGAATGCGAAAAAAACATATTGGAGAGACTTGTGTCAGTGAGATGACCAGTTGGCCGTATGGGGGATCGCTCCCTGCGTGGCCAAATGTATGAGGAGGGCGAGCCATCGTGAGGACGGCTTCGCTGGGATCAGGTGAGTCCTTGACGTACATTTCCACGTGATGTGATTTTATATGAAGTGTAAATAATTGTGAATGCTGTTGTATTGCCATTTGGTGTTGACAAACTGCATGATCATATAACTAACGAGTGACCAAATTAAAAAATACTTTTAGCATTTGCTTGTGATTGTATGGGTGAGAGGGTTATTCTAACCCGTACTCATTTGAGGTTTTGCGCTCATCCCTGCCTTACTATTTTTTTTCCAGTAATAGAAAGAAGGAAAGCCTATTGATTGAAAACGTATTATAGGAAAGATTGTTAATGATCTAGAAAAAAACGGATGTGAATGTTAAAGGCTAGAGTTCCGCAAATTTGTATTCCAGTTTGGTTGTAAAAATAAATAGTAAAAAGTCCATATGAAATATATGAATGCCATTTGGGAGTGCATATGTATAAAATGTTTAATGGGCCTGAATCCATAATATTGATAGAAAAGGGCTGAGATTTAAAATAAGTTAGGGCTTACTACGGGCTTCGGGGCCTTAAGGCCCAACCCAGGTCCTAGGGCCGGTCCGGTCCATGGAAATTGGTTCGTGACACAATATAGAAATTAAAAGCAATTGTCAAATAAAAAATTTTGATACTTTTGAATTTTTGATGCTCTAAATATTATGAAACCTAAAAAAAAAAATTAAGTTAGGCTTACTACGGGCTTCGGGGGCCTTAAGCCCACCCAGGTCCTAGTGCCGGTCCGGTCCATGGAAATGGGTCGTGACACATATAGAAATTAAAGCATTGTCAATAAAATTTTGATACTTTTGAATTTTGATGCCTCTAAATTAATTATGAACTAAAAAAAAAATTAGTTTTTAAAAACTTATAATCTAACCTTAATACTAATTATAGTGACATATATTATAATAAGAGATTATTACTAAAGAATTATAAATTGATTAATTATTTAGGATATAAAATACTATGAATTTTGCATATCGATACAATTATCCATATTTTAGGCATATAGATAGACTTCGCACATTCTTGCAATTACTCTTTTTCTTTTCAATTTTTGCATACATCATTTAAATTTAAAGGATCACGTTTGGCTAAATTTTAAATTCATAAAGATTTAAACCACATAATTTATTAAATTTTTTTATCTTTGAATGATAAAAGATAAATGTATACGGTAGATTTGTAACAAACTGCAAAATTCAAAGTAATTTTTCTTATTGATTCCATATCAAAATCCATTCTTTCTTTATTTTTGTACAACAGAAGTTTATATTTAAAGAAAAAAAAATATTAGAATTTCAGACAGGGCATTATCTATATAAAAAAGGTGTAATAGAAAAACAATGTTCAACCATGCCAAATTGCTTATATATAATATTAATTAATGATTTTTTTAATAACTAAAGTGATTAGGACTTTTGGAGTTTGCAATTGTGACAAAAGCCCGTGATTGATTTTTGTTATCCACATCAGCCGCAGGAAGAAAAAACCTTCAAGTCTTCAACCATGGAAAATAGGAAAAAATTTACATAATTACGAGAATAGAATGTGCAATTCAACATACATATATATATATAAGAAATTATGTCAAAAATTCAATAGTTGAACAACTTCTTTGGTAACTTTTAGTAGTATGCTATTTTTTTTTATAATGTTCGGTAATATAATTTTTGAATTAATTTTTAGAAATTATATCGTTTCAAAAAAATTAATTTATATAGCGTTTTACGAAAAATTATTTAAATAACCAACAATTAAAAGTTATTATAACAGTTAATTTTGCGGAATAAGAAGTGAAAAAAGGAAAGGAATCATAAGTACAAGTCCAGTAGTGTGTTGCCTGATCATAAGAAGTACTCATTAGCTTCTGAATCCAATCATGGAAATAGAAGAAGGAAGCTTTATAGACAAGGAAAGGAAGTAAAAATATGGGCATTGCTTTTTAACTGAAAATTAATTGATTTGAGCAATGAGTGAGTGAGAGATGGGAATGGGTTTTTTGAAGCACTGTCACCGACTTAAATTGCTTTCTTTAACTCTCACATGTGCTTTCTCTGTTCCCTTCCCAACATCTTACAAACAGGTACACTTTCAGTTCCTATTCTATTCATAAAGCAAAACTTCATTCTATTCACAGCCTGTCTCCTCCTTTATTATTACAGATATATTCAATGACCCTCTATATTTCACACCTACCAAGATCAACTAATTTCATGTTATTGAAAATCAAAACAGGATAAAATTTAATACAGAGATGAGTGATTAATGTTTTGAGTAAATTGGGTTATGCTCAGACCGACAAAATATGAATTTATATTTTTAAGAAAAAAAAAAAATCTGATTCGTTTAAAAGCTTGACTCATTTATTAAATGAGTTAAAAGAGTAGGCTCAAAATTTATTAAATAATCTTCTTCTTTATTTGGTTGGTCTTCTCGTTTATATGAAGAGTGAAAATTCTTCCGACCGTAAGTGTTTTCACCAATTATGTAATCCACAGTGTTATATACATTCCAGACGAAGCCAAATTAGTTGTTTTTCAGCTATGAAGTTACTATTGCAATGTTGAGGAGATTTTAGTTGTTACCTCTGTTAATAGTTGCCTGTTCAAAACGTTTATTACAACGTTAGAAAGAATAACATTTAATGATTTGCTTAACACTAATATAAACAACGTTACAAAGAGTGACATTTCATATTCACTTTATTAATTTAAACACCAGTATAAAGGCTATTTCACTGAATAATATACATTATATGAAAATTTTTTGTCGAATAATGCTAAAACTTTATAACATCTCAGTACAAATGCGGAAATATATATTAAAAAAAATATATCCTCCAATATTAAAATTTGGTGTTTGGGAAGTATTGCGGGCCATTTTTATATGGGCTCAGCCCGCTAATCATAGCTCAAATGGGTCTCAAATTAAGTGGCCCAACAATTCTTCAAAGCAAAGTCATGAGCCCATCTGTATTAAGGTTGTAGTTTTTACAGACACAAACAGAGCGCTTCATTCCCTCTTCAGGAAATCAAGATTCATTGTATTTGAAAAACCTAGGATTTCTGTAGGGTTTTTGACATACTTTCGAAACTCTTAACAGTTCTGGTTTCTGAACGGATTGAAGAATGAGGCGGCTTGATTATCATGAGAAAAAGCTACTGAAGAAAGTAAATTTCTTGCAATGGAAGAGAGAGGGCGGCCACAGAGAAGCAATGGTTATGCAACGCTACCACATAGGCGAGCGTGACGACTACAAGAAGTATTCTTTTTTGTGTTCTTTAATGGATTTTCATATTGGTTTTTGAATTAGGTTTATTTGTTTTAGTTTTTTTTTTCTCCAAATTTTGGTTATGGTTTTTGAACAAAGTTTGGGAAATTAGGTATTCGAGTATGTGTCGGATGGTGCAGAAGTTGGTCAACATATTGAAGCAAATGGATGCCAGAGACTCTTATCGTATTGAGATGACAGATATGCTTTTGGAGAAGCTGTGAGTTCTCTTTTACTTTTTATTAAATGGTTTTTTAATTGAATTTTCTTGTTAATTTATGGGAGATTCATAATTAGGGCTACTATTTATTTTATGAATAGCGTTGTAATGGTTTAATTGTACGTTTCAGCTGATTTTGTTTGCATTACTAGAATCTCAGTGCTAGTATTTTGTTTTAGTGACTTGTGTGTTCTTATGCAGTTTACTTTAAGATGAATAGCCAATTGCTGTTTTCTTTTTCTTTGTTTGAAATATTTTCACTCAACTCTATAACAGTGAAATGGCACCAAATAAGTCGGTGTCATGTAGTTGTTTTTGATATATGAAATAATTTCCCTTACAGCTAGCAGCTATTGTTAAATAGTAAGTCTTCTAGTATTTTGATTAAATTTGTTTTTGATAAAAGCAGAAGCTTGAATATTTGACAGCAGTTATCTTTGCACGAGTTGGATTTGCAAATTGCTTATTGTGTGTAAATCATCCAAGATATTTTTAATGAATCAAATAAATAAAATAAAAGAATGTAATAAAAATATAAATGAATAACTAGACTTATGCCAAGTAAAACAAGAAAGAAGTAACCAGTATAAAAATTCAGATGTTAACTGCTATAAAAAGATTATCAAAACGCTTGAAAGTACTTTTTGCAGTATCATCCGGACTATCTAGGAATAGAGACTACAGAGCTTTTTGGTCACATGTTCAACTCGATGGGACAACCTTATTTCTTGGTTACAGAATCTCCACCATTCTATGGGATAGGAAAATCCTACAAACATGATGAAGCAAGAGGCTGCAACCTGAGATAGCTCAAGTGGCACATGGTTACCCAAAGGAACAATCCAACTAAACAGTAAAAAACTAGGGAAGCAAAACAAAACCCATCCAGACCTTATTTCATACCATATTAAACTTGATTATGATATATCCATGCGAGTAGGTAACTTCAGAAGATTCTGTGACTAGGATCATCAGCAAACCATCCCAGAACTCAATTCTAAAGCCAAGGTTACTGACAACTCGATTCCTGTACTTTAACTTCATTGTTGCAGGACAAGGCAAGAATGCTTTTTCTTTGCAATAATAACTCCTCCATTGAGCATTGTATGACGAGAATTTGGTCCAATTAACTATGTATGTTTATAATATTGAAATTAGTTTCATCTGGTTGTTCCTCTCTTTCTCTCTCTTTCTGCATGTAGTGATTATTATTTATAATTACTATCAAGTTTGATATTTTTGTTACTTGTTTGTGAATGGCAGCTATAACATGGGAGTAATATCAAGCAGGAAAAGCTTGGCTTTGTGTGATCGATTATCAGTGTCATCATTTTGCCGGTAGGCAAATGCCTCTCTCTCACTCACACACACTCACTCACACAACTGTCAGTCCCCTTAAATGGTTTTACAACTTTGTGGTTACCTGTGTTTTGGTAAGAAGTCATTAGGGCCTTGTCAGTATGCGCCCCTTTATGAAGAGGCGCCCCTGTCCCAATGTTAGGGGGGCTGTTCTGCTGAGTTCCTTTGACAAACTGAGTTGCAATTTGTCTATCTGAGTTGCAACTAAGGTTATTTGTAACTGTTACTGCAATACTGAAAGATTTGACTCATTAAAAGATTTGACTTCTGTCCAATCTGTAACTGTTCTTGTCAGATCCCTGCCTTTCTATTTCTGGATACTCTTTTTTTTTTTTTTTTTTTTTTTCTGGATATACTCTTTATTTTTTTTTTTTCTTTTTTTGGTCTTTAATAATAAAAATGAACTCCATTGCTATGTATTAGACGGAGGCTATTTCAATGTTATGGCGTCGCAGACTGTGACAGTTTGACTGAAGGGTCATTTGAAAGAAGCCCCATCACATACATTGAGCAAGGGTCACTTCGAGTTGGTCCGATTAAAGTTTACTGACCCCAGCCATTCCCTCGTAACCCAAGGAATATGGCGAAGACTTTTTGTCACTTGGGTAAGCATACAATCCCTAAGATAAAGGAAGCAAAGGTGCCTGCCAGTACGAATGAGAAACTTGGATTGATTATGTATGCAATGAATCACTGAAACGAACGAAGTCTTCGATATTTTTTCATTTTCCTTTGCTCATATGGGTATTCCTTATTTAATGGCCTATACGCCCACTCCCGCATCATACAATATCAGCCCACCAACAGCCCCCAACGACCGAATCTCACCACACCAACCCACAATTCTTGATTCGAAGCATACACCATATTAATTGATCGATATGGCTGGAGTGGTGTGAGGTACAGTTATACCATTGTCTTGTTTAAAAGGCTCTGCCACAAGAAACTGGTTAAGTGTTTCTTTCTTTTTCTTTTAAATATATTACTCGAGTTCTTTTTTGAAATGGAGGTCGTCCGCCGATCGGACTTAGGAGCCGCGAGCTCTGTGGGACAAAATCCTAATCGCTCCCTAAAGACTTCAAGATAAATTTGACACCTTTCATCGCCAATTTTATGTACTGAACGATCTCAGCCATTGTTAATACCACTTTTTTTTTTTTTTTTTTTGGTTAATAATAAAATGACTCCATTGCTTGTAGACGGAGGCTTTCAAATGTTATGGTGCGATTGAAGTTTGCTGAGCATTTGAAAGAAGCCATCACATACATTGAGCAGGGTCACATTCGAGTTGGTCCAGATACAGTTACTGACCCAGCATTCCTCGTAACCAGGAATATGGAAGATTTTGTCACTTGGGTAGATACATCCAAGATAAAGAGAAAGGTGCTCCAGTACAATGAGAAATTGGATGATTATGATGCAATGAACTGAAGAGAGTCTTGATTTTTTCTTTCCCTTTGCTCTATATGGGTTCTTTTTAATGCTATAACATTTTTGTTCGAAGCATAATGTATAAATGTTGCTGAGTGGTGGAGAGACAGTTATACATTGTTGTTAAAAGCTCTCCACAAGAACTGGTTAATGTATTTTTTTTTTTTTTAAATATTACTTCTTTTTATTGAAATGGGTCGGACTTAGGAGCGGCTCTGTGGACAAATCTATCCTCTACTTTTCAAGATAAATTGACTTTATGATATGTAATAACGATCTCCATTGTTATACAGTTAGACATCACTTGCAAATTCATATTTTTTTGGAGTGTTGATTCATAATTTCGCATTTTATTTTAAGGAAACACTGAACAACTATTCATCTTATTTGGTTAATATGGCAAATGGCAAGTATGATGTTAACAAGACATTATAAATTCAGCTAATTCATTTAAGGAATTTTATGAAGAACCACCTTTGTTTATTCTAACTTGAACCTTCTCTCTGAAGTCCATTGCTCTCTGCCTCATCTCCTCCCCTTCCTTATCAACCATTAGGGTTCGAATAGCTCGCTCTATCTCTCGTTGCTCCAATCCATTCTCCAATTCCAAGCCTACTCTCCATACATGACTAACATATCTTGCTATGACCTTTTGATCCCCAAAACACGGTCTGCACATCATTAGGAACCCATTCGCATATATACTCTCCATTGTTGAATCCCATCCATAATGGCTCCAAAACCCACCTACAGCAGCATGTTTTATTCCTTTTGTGGTGCCCATTTTACAATGCAACCTCTATCTCCAACAGCTTTTCTGAATCCACCTGGCAATTGCTCAATCCAATTCGAACTGCGAATTGACCCAGTCCTAACTACCCTCAAAAATGGCTGCTTGCTGGTGGCTAGTCCCCAGGCCATTTCAGCTAGCTCATTCTTATTGATAACAGCAATGCTACCTAAACTTATATAGATAACCGTGTCTGCAGCTTGCCTGTCAAGCCAAGATGTGCAGCTAGTTTCTTCTTCTAGTAAGCTGATAGAAGAGGCTGGTACAATTTTGTGCATAGGGCCTATCGTGAAGAACGGAAGTTGACACTGCTCTTTCAATTCTAATAGTTATGATTGCTCTAGGCAATCCATTGTATTCCGTATGATGGCTAAGGATGATCTTGTGTTGCTTATGATTTTTCATTTGCCATAACAAGGCATCTAAAGCTGAAACCGTAAGCTGGAAGATCTTTGAATCTGAGGGGATTTAACACAGGCACAAGGTCTAATAATTTAGAATCTGCTAGATACAAGAAATGGTTAATAGTCTGCAGAGGTTTCTTGTTTCTTAGTTAGCAGGAATAAAAAATCAGTGCTGTCAGTTCATCTTTCATCACGTCTTATATATACACGCGCGCGCGCACACACACGCACACATACCTTGTGCAGGAAGATAACGTTGTTTTGGGAGAGCAGGAAATGCATAGTAGGTTAATAAATTAGCAGCACACCTAGTGCGTAATATGATGCTTGGAAGCTTTAGAGATTGAGCTACTGCTGCAACAAAATACATTAGTCCATCACATATGATGCATGGCAATGGCAGCACATCATCTTGGGCTTGTCCTTCCACCTGCTTCTGAATCATCTCAGTTACTGATGCCTCAAGTGAAGCTTCACAGTTAGTATTAAGGGTTGATAGAGAGGCTATGAAGTTTTTAAAGAAGAGAATAGGGAGTGATATGCCATCTGATATGGGAAGGAAGCTAAAGTGAGGGTGATTGGATGAGTTTGGAGAATTAAAATTTGGTATGAGCAATTGTTATGGAGAAACCTTTGGAGTGAAGAATTGATCCTAACTGAATCATTGGGTTTAGGTGTCCTTGTAGTGGAAATGGAACCAGCACTAGACGGCGACGTTTCTGTTTTTGTTTCTGTTCTTGCATTTCCGGTGAAAGTTTTGGTTGCAGAAATTGTACACTTGCAGGTAATGAAAATGCAATGTTTTAAGTTATTATCTACATTTGCAAAGTAAGAACTTAATTAGAAAATTACAAAAAAGGAAAATTGTAAAATCAGAACTTGGAAGTTTACTCGAAGAGGTGGTTATACGTGAGCATGAGTTGGAGTTTTCGTTGTTAATTTCGAAGTCGATGCTTTGGGTCATTGTTAATGATGAACAAATCGAACTGCATGCTGGCCGTTTGCCTATGTTATCAATATTCAGGTTGAAGCATTTTAATATGTTATTATTTTATTCTCATGTTTTGAGAGAAAAAAACGAGAAGGCAAAACTACGGATTATTAAAAATACAGAAATAACGTTGTATATTATGACAAAATATAAAGATAGAGCTATAATTCTTTTTAAATTGATGAAATATGTCAAGATCCTAAAAGTTTCTAATTTTATAAATTTTTAAAAATTTATTTATTCGATATAAATATTAAATCCACGAATTTCAATCATATTTTTATAAATAAATAAATTAAATGAATTAGTCATTTATTAGAACGAGGGGCTTGAGAAAATGTCAAAAAACTTCTTTATCATTCATGAAGAAATTAAAAAAAATCCAAATTTTGTTTCAAAAACTTTCATACAAACGTTGCAAAGATTTTAAAATAAAGAGGATTCTCCGGAGGAAAATGATTTCATAATCAAGGAGCAAAATGTGTTCAACATGTTACTTGGATATACAACCCAATTATATTACTTGGATATACAAAAAGCAAAATTGGTAATAGTACGTTACGTGATTTCTGAGACTAGCCAATGGCATAATGCGCTAGAACAAATACCATGCTCCTGACTTTGGTCTAAAATCCTCTCAACTTTTCCCCGCATTTATCGCAGCTTGCACAAAGTCCTCGCACCGCCCAACCCCGCCAGGTAAAACATCAGCCAGAACGCCAATAATATCAAATGCTTCCTGCAAATCAGTTGCGGAATTCATCTCATCAAGCCATGAAATCAATTCCTTGGAGAACCCCACCATTTCTTTCACATTTAATAGTCGTTCCTTCATTATCACTTCCCAAGGTTCCAAACTTCCATTTTCATCTTCCTCTTCTGATCCCATAGGAGTTCCTTGTGCTTTAACAGATGCCACATTTGATGATTTTTTGACCTTGAAGAAGTGCTGAAGCTGCTCAATCAAACCTGTATAAACAAGCATGGGTCGAACAATAGACAATAGCTCATCAGAATCCCCAGTTTCTGTTGCAGGGCTTCTGCTGGTACTTCCTGACTCTATTCTAACCATGCCAGTTGAAGTGGATGATGCCCTAGTCGTTGATCGGCCATAAGTGTGTTGCATGTATGCATGGTATATTCCTCGCTGCAGGAAAGAACGACGGTGTTGCAACCATGACTCGTAGGACTCTGAAAGAAGTGAATTCACCATCATAAATTGGACAGTTTCTTCAGTTCCGGCAGCTGGCTGTGTTACAGGAGTCAAAGGTTTAGAATCCAACGAGGATGAAGTTATATATGATGATACAGTCTTGGCCATGCTACGACGTTGAGTTGGGCTTCCCTGTTCAAGAAGGTGACAAGCCATTTGGATCATGAAAGGTAGGAAGCGGGAGTTGCTCTCCCTTCCACCACCTCTACTTTCTAAACTGAATGATGCCCCTGTTGCAAATCGAGCTAGCATCTATAGCAAAGGATGTGCAGAGACGTAAGGTATATATAAATGATTTCTCAAAATAAGTATTAATGTAAAATAAGAATAGAAAATGCCAATGAGAATGGTTCCTTACCAGAACAATGTCCCAAGTCAAGAGCCGGAGCCGGCTACCATCAGCACGTCCAAGAGCATTGAGGTTATCCCAGTATTGGTCCACATAGCGAATATATTGAGCCAATGGGACAGATGGACCTCTAACAGGGAATAAGGAATTGCATAGTGATTCATTGTTTCTGAGGGTAGCACCCTCCCACTCTTTTTTAGGATTCCTCAGAGCAGCATCTGCTCTTTTGGCTTCCTGATGGCATTGGAAATGAATGATATTGAAATAACTGACTGTGGTGTAAACACACTCCGCACCCCCACGGGCACTTCCTGAAGTGCCAACACCCAGATTCACTCGCTTGCTGAAAGAGTAAACGCCCAGCAAGTCAGTAGGCCTCAAACTATATCCCTCTCGGCATACCATGCATGCCAACCCATCTTCCTCCTCTTCTACATCTTCCAAACCTTCCAGGATTGGCCGAGCAACAACAATTCTCTCACCACCATCTGAAGCCAGTTCTCGTCGCATTCCAAGTACCTTCATGGTTACCAGAAAACAACATTAAAATAATAATAATAAAATTTTACAACTAATTTTTCTTTTTTTTTTTAAAAAAAGCAAGCATATGATACATTCAATTCATTTTCTTAATGCACTAAGAAACATGCACATGAATTTGATGCCCAAAAAGATTGATTGATAAGAGGAAAAGATGTGGTCTAACTCCCAAAAAAAAAAAAAAAAATCAAGCCCAATCCTGGAAGCCAAGTTTCTCCGTCCGCATCTCCAAGTACCAATTCATGGTTACCCAAGAAAAACCAAACATGACAAATAATAATAATAAAGTTTCTACAAACTTAATTTTCTTTTCTTTTTTTTAAAAAAACCAGCAAGCATATGATACATTTCAACTTCCAATGTTTCCTTAATGTAGCACTAAGAGAAAACATGTCACATGATTTGACTGCCCATAAAGATTGCGCCATTGATGAGGAAACGATAGTGAGTTCCTAAACTCCCGCAGAAAAAAAAATAAAAAAAAATGTGAAATGCCGATCAACTTACTTAAAACAAAGAATTATACCTGAACGCAACTCTCTCTCTTCCTCCAAGAGCACGCGCCTCTTTCTCTCTAGTGGCATGGCGCCAAACTCACTAGGCGTTCTCCTCCAAGAACCCACTCGTCCGTTTCCGCCTTCCTTATCTAGAATAGTCGCATATGCTACTAGATAAGTTTCTCCAGCTCGCTACCGCGCCATGACTCATCTTTCTCCAGGCGACGCCTCCAGAAGCATGGAGCAGTGGTAAGTGATCACCTCCCTCGTCAATAAACCTTGCGTGAGCCTAAAAACGTGGCCCCATTGACAATCCCTCAGCAGAGATAATATATTTGGCGAGCACCGATCCGGCAGTCTTTCACAACGATGATGCCCCATGCTCTTTAAAAAAAAAAAAAAAAATGTGAAATGGATCAACTACTTAAAACAAGAATTACCTGAAGCAACTCCTCTCTCTTCCTCAGAGCACGACGCCTCATTTCATCTCTAGTGGCATGGCGCAACTCACGCACTTTCTCCTCCAAGAACCCATCTCCTTTCCCCTCCTTATTAGATAGCATGTCTAGTAAGTTCTCAGCTCTAGCGCCAATCTCATTTTCTCCAGGGACGCCTTCCAGAGCATGGAGCAGTGGTAAGATCCCTCCCTCGTCAATACACCTTTGCGTGGCTAAGTGCCCCATTGACAATCCCCTCAGCATAGATAATATATTTGGGACAGATGGCAGTTTCAAACCTGATGCCCATTCTTTTCTAGATTTGAACCCAGCCTGCCTTGCAACTGCAAAACTCTCTCTTAAATGTCTGACGGCAACATCCGTGATACCTTTCTCCAGAATGATGTCCTTCAATCGCTCTCCACAGGAACTTGTCTTTAGTGATTCAGATACCCTAACAAAATTTTCCACAGTAAACCTCTGCTCAGCTGCTTTCTGAGCAATGTTCTCATCTTTGGGGTTGGCTTGATGTTGTTCCTGCAACAGGTCAAATTCCCCCCAATCTTGCAAGTATGGGTTGAAGTGCTGAATGAGTGCTTCCATTGCAGCAGGTTCACCATATGTCAGATAAGGCAAGATTCTTGCAACCATCTCAGTGTTCCTCTGTTGTTTGTTGGACTTTTTTAGGCCTGAAGGGTGACACAACCTTTCGAGGAACATGAGAACGATTTTTTTGGCCTGTTCCCCTGTACCAGTCTCCTCACTAGTGACAGTAAGAGCACTCTGTGTGATGCTAATATTATGACTCTCATTTGCCTCCAACGTCAAGCTCTCAACTATCAAAAGAATGCCTTCAGCTGGCTCCATGGCATCCACAGAGAAGGCACGCCTTGCCGTTTCCAGAAGAAGACCTAAAGCTCCGAGCCTTAACAAGGCCCTTCTATTCTCTCGTATCTTGCAGCAATGCATAAGGAGATTAAGAACTGCAACCAACTGCTCCTGGTTGGACTTGAAATCATCTCGCAATCGCTGCACATTTTAAATCAAAGTCACAATGTCTGTAAAATTGTAGCAATAGACTTCTTTTGCAAAACTCAAAAGGGAGAAAAAGGACAGAGAGAGAAAAGGAATGCTGATTCAACATTGTTAATTTCATTTCAGTTAATTGATGTAGATTAAAACTTGAGAAGAATAAGGAAAAAACATTAGTTATATGGCAGATATATGGTTTTTCATTAAAGATCCCATTCTAGAATGAATGCAACGTCAAACAAAAAGATTGAACCATTCAAGAAAGCGAACTCATAACAAAGATACGGCATGAAAAAGTAACTCACCTGGATCATGCCTAACAGAATTTCAAGCCCACCATACTCTCGAACTGCTCCTGCAATTGCAAACTCAACTTCTGGATCTTGTGATTCCTCCCTGTCTTCCTCCAATTCTTTAATCATAGGCTCCGTAGCTTCACCATCTAATCCCTATCAATTGTCCACCAAAAAAATAAAAGTTCAATAATAATATCCCAAAAGAATTACAAATAATAATGATCCATCTCTTATAGACAACACAATCCAAACTTCCATGCTGAGTGCTGACCATCCAAAGAAAAAGGGGAAAAATAATTTTAAGGAAAGCACAAGTACATGAGGGAAAGTAAAAGGAAGTGATTAAGGAAAGAACTAGTCATATCAAGTACATCAGCAGTCTGTCAGCATTTAAAGAAGTTCCAAACACCACATCAGCAAAACCAATGACGGAAATGAACCCCACAAAAGAAACATGTGAATTGGGCAAAGCTCAATATAGAAATATCACGAGAAAACAATAATCAACCCGTATTGCTAAAATTTTGTCATTAATTCAGACCACATTTTTTATCAACAAATAAACTCAGATGCATTACCAACCTGAAGCCTGTATGTCACTGTCATAGGGGGGCAATCTCTTGCTGATGCTGTGCCACTTGAGGATAACAATGTAGAATTAGCCAATGCATTTGAAGCTTGAGTATTTGACTTCTTCCAGACTTGCTCATAAACTTGAGCAATGCTCAAATCAAGAGAGATGATATTCCCAGCTACCAGCAACTCCATTCCATAGTCATCTTCAAGAAGCCCTAGCAAATCCAATTGATGGCAAATTTTATTCTTAACATCACGCATCAGTGGACCAATCTCAGCACTGGAATAAGGATTTTTAGTCATTGATCCCCTAATAAATTCTTCCTGCGTGTGTGCCTTATTCAGAACCAATAAATATACAGATTCTGGTTTTGATGGGCAGATTAAATTGCAAAGCTGCTCTAAGATAAACTGCACAAACAGAGAAATTCAATTTCAAATTAGCAGTTAGAAAAGCAGTAATTTCTGATCTATAAACTTAAAAATGAAGTTAACTGGGGAGTTATTTTGTTGAAATTGCCTATCGCTAAGCAATCTAAACTAAGGTATATTAAAAAACTGAACAATCAAGACAGCTACTCTTTGAAATAAACAAAGAATTACTTTTCCAACAATCAAAATACTCAATGTGACCGGGAGATACCTCTCCCACTTCACAAACTTTAAAAAAATTTTAACTAAGTGAGAAAGCATGGAAATGATTTTTAATACTAGAATTATAACCATGTCCATAAACAAAGTTATAAAAATTAACATTATGCAAAGTTATAAAAGTCCTGCATATCATGACTCAAATAAACAATGTAGAGCATTAGGAAATTTCCAATACCAAACAAGTTCGTCCTTTTCTCTCCTCCCCATGGATTTGTAGACCACAAATACAGGCTCGGATAAATTGTCTTTTATTTTCACTGCTTTCGAGCAGAAGACTGTCTAAAAGATCATTTAGAAGGCGATTGCAATCACTGATCAACTTTGTCTTTTGTACTACTAAGCCACGAATGACAATAAGAGCCTCAAGGATATCCGACAGCAAATTGTCTCGCATAAATCTGGCATCAAGATCAAATTAGTTGAAAATATAAAGAGGGGAAAATTAAATCACCAACTCGAACTATTAATCTATGACTGATACCTGGCTCTGATGTTGTGAACCTCCAAAAATTTGCCAAGGAGTTCAATAAGCTTGTGAAGAATGAAACCCTGTGATATGTCAATATGCAAGCTCCTCTCTAGAGACGCAATGTTAGTCACTTCTTGGGTAATCAGTTTACAGATTGCAGTTAGACATCCATGCACAGTCAAAAAAAGACGAGAATCTTCTGAATCTATCATCTTGAACAGCAATTCAAAGTATTCTGCTGCACTTTCACCAGCGGCAAGGGTTGAAGGCAGCAAAGCCATCAGTAAGTTTAACAACCGAAACCGCCTTGATGAACTCTGGGCACAAAGTAAACTAATCAGCATGCACATCTCTGACCTGATAGACTGCGAGCAAGCACTCAAAACAAGTTCTGTCACCCAGGACCCCAGCTCAAATGTGGACAAATCACCCTTAAACGTCTTACAAGCACGACGCCTCCATCTAAGAGCATATTTGAGAGCAATGTATTCATTTCTCTGAGGCCGAGATCTCTGACCAGCCCCTTTGATTGCTTGGGACACTTTGTACTGCCTTCTAACAAAATCAAGGTATGATGCTCCCTTCTCCCACTCAGAATAACTCAATAATTGAATATCTTGAGTCCTATGAGAAGCATCCCAATTTTTTTCCAAGGGTTCTGATGTTGGCTTGCTGCTACTGACAACTCCACTCAATGGTCCTGAGTTGCTTTCATCCTTTGGCAACATTACAGGAGCAGATTTGCCAACACCCTGATCTTTATCTACTGTATCAGGTTTTGGAGGAGTACATGCCTGAGATATGATTCTCAGACAGGGGAGAATAATATGCTCAGCTATTGCAGGATGTTTGGCACCCAATTTAATGGATGAAAATAACAACTGGAAAACAACACGTAATCTAGATTCCCAGAACTCATCAGCCAAGGAACAAACTTCTGAAAGCAGTAACAACTCCTCCCGAGTGGCAACAGCAATGTCCATGGAACGATGATGCTCAAGGCAGTAGATGACTTTCTTCTGTATTAAACTGTTCAACTCAGTTACTGCATTTATATCTCCTTCAGAGAAAGCACAAAGTACTGCCCTAGCTTGTACACGAGCTGTTTTTGGACCTTGATGAATGTTATTTTCAAACAACTCAGATAAGATGCCAGCTGCTACGAGTTGTTTCTTTGAATTTGGATGCTTTGACAGCACCTGTAACATCTCCAAACACTGTATCACAAATGTGGTTGCACAGCCATAGCAATTATTTGGAGACCTGGAAACCACAAATCTGGATGCAGCAATAGCATCATCTGAATGTTTCTGGTGCAAATAACTCATCAAAACCCGACGAAGGCCCTGCAGCGTCTGAACACTTTTGCTGACAGAATCAAAGGCAGCTTTGCACTTTTCACCATATAACACACCTAGAAGGGCAATCTTACGATTTATCTTACATGAAGGTCCAGGGAGAGAAACCATCATTTGCTGGACTGAGTCCTTCTGTTGTGAATCCATTTCATTCTCACCAATGCTTGATACAATCTTAAGAAGAGGCTTTTTAAAACCCAAAAGTTGCTGGTATCTCCTGTGTGCATTTTCTGATTCTGATTCTATGGCAGCCAGACCTCTCTTCATATCATCATCACTCTCCATGTTATCAAATGTAAAACTAGGCTTTGCCATAAAGTTGAACTCAAACCGGCCATATTTGCTGTACCCACACTCATTGCATAGAAAAGAATCTAAATTTTCGTAATTTATGTTGCGACATTGCCTGCACTGATATGCATTCTCATGGCAATTGCCGCAAATTCCATGCCTATCAGTGACAGGTCGACTACACCGTGGGCATTGCAACGGTTCAAGAGATAAAGCCTGAAGATTTTCATAGAAGGAATCAAGCTCAATCATGAAGTTACAAGCAGTGATTGGAATAGGAAACTCCACTTTTAGCTCTGTTTGATTGAAAGCAAGATGGCAACTCTTCGCACGCTTCCACAAGGACCAATTATTTTTCAACTCTGATAAGTCAGCTACAGGTCGATTGTTGTAGTAAAGGTTTAAGACTTTCACAGATTTAGACTTGCGTGCATCATGAACATTCATAGTCACAGTCTGGATTGTGTAACTTCCAGTGCATTTCACAAGGATGCGGTTGTCAGTAAACTTAGTCTCAGACTTCAGGCTTTCTAGCTTCATCTTACTATAAGGTACCTCAGGAGAACTGCAGGCAACACAAGGTTCACTCTCAAGATAGTAACCATCAAACTCTACAAGACCACTCAAAGTATTGTATATACGAGAATTGGGATGATTAGCAATAAGCTCATTTTGTGAATGCAGTGTCTCAAAGATGCACCTAATTACATCAGGGGTCAAGCAACGATCCACGAGTTCAGTGCTCTGCTGCTTTGAACTATTATCTGGGACTTTCCCCAGTAACCAAGTGACTAGTTCAGTGAACTCAACAATATTCTGACCATACATAGGTAGGCTTTTCACTTTCTGCAAGAAAGCCACTAACAATGTTTCCTTGAATGAAAGCTTCCCATGATGCCATGCCCCATAAAGAACACATTTAGCTTCTGTGCGCACAGAGCTAGAATTCCATTCCAGTAAAAAGCAGTCAACAAATTGCCTCAGAACATCACCACCATTGTCGGTAAATATATCTACTGCTGCCTCCATATCCAAATAAGACTTCTCCAGTCCAGATTCAGATCCATCTTCACCTTTCTTCTTCTTCTTTGAATCCTGAGATTGTGCCCCTGATTTGTTTGAACTTGTTCCAGAATCCCCCACCTCAACTTTTTGCAAGGAGTGGGTCATATCCTTTCCCGAATAGAAAGCCAGATTTAGAAGTTTGAGAGTCTGGACCACAGATTCTTCACCAAAATAAAATACCCCATTCATCAGGAATGGTAAAACATCCCCATGCCTCAAACAGTATTTCTGCCAATTTCTAGGCCGTGCAGCAGCCACCTCAGCCATTGTAGACAAGCACTTCACTATCTTCACACTTCTCTCATATGGAACAGGATTTTGAAGGCCACCAGATTTATTTATGTGCTTGTAAAGTTTCTTCATTTCAGTAGAGAACTGCCACGAATCTCGGACACTATAATAGTGAGTTTTACTTCCACAAACATGCAGAAAAAGTCTCCTCGCATATCTTCTTACAAATGTTGTCTGAGGATTATTGATGTAACTGCAGAGGACATCCTGATATCCGTCTAATTTCAAATCCTTACCAGAGGATATCTTGTAGACCTTTTCTTTCTCCCCAGTCTTGTCTTGCTTTTCTGGTCTAACCAAAGTATAGACTAGTCGAAAAGCATTCTCCAATAATAGCCTATGATAGTCCAAAAAAATATCAGTTCGATGGGCTTTTGCATACGAATCTGAAAAAAACGGAGAGAAATTACCCGCAGGTAAATCTCTCCTAACTGTTAATAGAGCTCCACATCCAGAACCAGAACTCAAACCATGTGTGTTTTCAATATTAGCAGTAGGGGACTTGAAAACATTGACAAGCTGCTGCAGAATATCCATCAGGTAGTTAACAAAAGCTTGGTTCCTAAGATAATTGCATGCTCGAAGCAGCTGGGACGTAAAGTCATTTTTCTCTTGACCATCTGAAGAAAACTGAGAAGCAACTGAAGTGACCTGAATAGTGTTCTTATCATGTGAGTCTGCGTTTCCACTTGATTTAGGAATAGAACCATCACTGCCAGGCTGGTGCCAATTTCGAAGCATCAAAGTGAAAAACATAAAAACAAGGATAGCAACTTCCCCAAAAGAAGAGCGAGCTTTGGCTACAAAAGGTTTATTAAGATCAATCTCATCCAAAAACCACCGGATCAGTTTCTCCAAGTCCAAGGCCTCAGGCTTGGAGCTGTCTATAAAAGGTCCGCCCACTGCAGAGGACAGTCTATACAACAATTGCATGATAGGGATGGCACGAACACCAGAGGTTGTTCCCATCCATCCTTTCAGCTGTTCAAGAAGTTCTAAGAGAAGCAGTGAATTCACAGCTCGTTTTGAAGCAGAAATAGAGACAGTATCAGTCACCGAGGCAGAAAACTCTCCAGATTCATTGGGCTCCAGGACATGAATTGAAGGAGCAGAGTTCTGCATGCTAACATCTGCTGCGATAGGCATCAAGTTCGAATCATTTCCATCGTCAGTGGAGAAGTGCATTTCATTGCCTTCTCCTCCTAATGATTCCACCTCAATTGGAATAGCTGTCATGGGATGATCTCTAGAATGGGGTGGAGGAAGCCGATCGGCATCTAAAACTTGATAGCAAGCCTCACATAAGTCAAAATCAGGACAAATAGTACAATGCCACCTTCGCCTGAGTATAGGAACAGTGGAGCATCCATCACAACAATATTGAACAGAGGATGTGATTGAATCTTCTTCAATCATGACCTGTGTATTTCCACCAGCTGCCTCAGAAGGCCCGGAAGAAGAAACAGCAGCATCCACAGCATCATCTGTTGCTAGCATTGTCTGCTTCGGGAATGGAACCTGGAGCAATCTTGAGGATATAGCAAGGCTGAAAAGGAAAAGGAGGTGCAAATTAGCTGATATAAAACCAAAATACCACACACATGCACAAAATGGGGCAACTAATACCTGCTGGAAGTTTGAACAGCCTCATTGCGAGAGAAAAGAAGTTTCTTTAATAATACAACAGCAGGAGCAACAGAGCATCCTGCTGTGTCCTTCCCATGTAAAGCCAGGCATTCAGCATAACAATAAATAAGCTCCACAGAGGATATAACAATATTGTTCATAGTTTGGGTGTCAGGCTGCTCAAACTCCAAAATTCCCCATAGAACTTGCATGAGTCCATCCACCACACCTGAACCTGTATTAAAAATGAGCAAGGCAATAGCGGTGTCGGTAACTTAAAAAAAGAGCAAAATAAGCAGGCAGTGTGTGCACATATTTGTGAAATCACGTGTTCACAATATTTGATAACTATTCATTGAACAACTCCATCCCCTTCCTTCCCCTCCCCAAAAGGAAGGATAAGAAAGAGAATGAGAGGATGTTTTCTTCCCTTGGGGAGGAAAACAATAGTCAGTTCTCTGGTAAGAACAAGAACAGGATTCTTTTTTCTGTGCCCCACAATTTCTAAGATCACTAATGCAAGGTTATCAAAATTTCTTTTTTAACCAGAATCAGTGGACAGTTCGAAAAATTGAATCAAAGAACCATAAGCACAACTTCACAAACATATTGCACAACTCATCCATTTCACAGGGTGATTAAAAATACAATCCATATCATTTCTAGTAATATTTGCTCACTCATCCTAGCCTAATAGACCAAGTTCACAACATCAAACATAACAGAAAATATACCGACTAAAATTATGAACTAGAAACATTCATTAGAAAGAAAGAAAAAATTGTTTAATTTGGAATCCCTAATTCCATTGAAACGCGTTGTTTTTTGGGTGATGCCTTTTGGCCCTTATATGGGTTTTCTAGTGCAGAAATAAGCCCACTGATCCAATATAAAATCAGGCCATTTAAATCAATTTTAGCACCAGTATAGAATCTATCTGATTTTCACGTTTTCATGATTTTGTATACGAGTGGACATGTTTTTCCATATTGAAATTGTAAGCTTCTGTGATTTTACAAGTTGAATATGCAATTTTATAACATTGTTTTGTGTATATCTGTCTGTGCAACCAATGCAGAATACCATTTGTCTCCAGGAAAATCGCTAAATTAGAACGGCGGTGCAATGCAATCTTAGACACGGCACGCATCTGAGCAGTAAACTCTTCAACCATCCACCCTCCTGTAGTTCCACCAGCTCCTAGCCTTGAAGATAACATAGAGGTTGATTTCACCACTCCGTGAAGTCGCAAAGTATCTTTAACCTAAACAAAAGAACTCTAATTAGTGACTGAAATTCACATGGATCTGCTCACACAGTTACTTGCAGAAGTACATTCAAGCACACAGTTAAAGAAGGGGTGATGCATTACTGTGCTATCTAAAATTATTTTGCAGATAGTACCTGGTAATATCTATCTTTCTTGGGGAAAACAGACTGCAAGACACGGCTAGCAGCAGCCTGTAACAAGGGCTCTCTGTCACTTTCAAATATTGTTTCGAAAAGTGGTTTACACTTCAGTTCACTTGGCTCCATCTTTACGTCATCTTCCTGGGTCCTGCACAATGAATATAACCTGGATAGAAGCTTGAGACCATCTGCTACTACCTGCTCCTGAATATCAGCCTGCACTGATTGGCACTTTTTCCCAGAACCTCCAAGCAATGAATTGGAACCAAGCACACGAGCTTCCATATCCAAAATTGCATCCATCTTCTCCTTCCATCCAAATTCATCTTTAGCTCGACCATATACTTCAAGACAGTCAATTCTGGGCAGTGCAGTGCCATTGAATGTAGGCCCCACAGAGATAACAAATTCTTCATCAGCAAGGAGTGATTCAGCTACAGTAAATGGAATATCGTACCAGGAACGCATGCCCTCATCTAACTTAATCACCCTCTGGAAAATGGTAATATCAGTAGGTATATGGTTTGCGGATGTGTTACCCACATGCACACGAAAACCAACCATGACAGTATCAGGATTGGAGTTGGAGATAGATATCTGGAAAACACAATAACGCAAACAAAAAATAAAAAAAAAATTACAATAAAGAACTCTGATTATTCCATATAGAACTACAAGAAGCAATATTTTTTAGATAACAAGAAAATATTTTCCATGGACTTCATTTTTTTTGCACTTTCTCTCTTTGACATGCACAGAAATTATACAAACAATATGTGTGTATATATATATATAGAGAGAGAGAGAGAGACAGAGAGAGACTTGATAGTACAAAATCAAGAAAAGAATTAAGTCAATCATAAGCATTCACAAATACTAGAAAAAACAAAATTTATTTTATAAATTTAAAAACACAGCAGTCGTGACATTATTGCAGACTTGGTTATGAACAGAGCAGAATAGATACAAAGGATTCATACCCCAACTAGTTTGAAATTAAGGCTTAGTTGTTATTTAGGCATTTAGCATACACCAAGATTAGATGGCCGGCAATGTTACTTCAAAGTCCAAATTTCTAACAATAACCTCTGACATGTTCGACAATTACAAGGATGATTATAACCACTGTAAAATAATTACAACAACTGTGACCAGAAACAAACATACATCTATTGTTTATCCTGGGAAAACTAAACGATTTTAACTTTTGACCGCCACCTGAGAGACCCTGGTTGTCTGAAGCATTATTGCTAAAAGGGAGTCATGCCTTTAAATGATGCTAATGAGGCTATTACTAGTGCTCATCAGTACCAAGGCATGATAATTCATTCTCCATATCCACAACAGGATAAATGAATCTTCCAACACAAATGTGTATTGTATATGTGAGGCATTATTTAAAAATGAACAATCCAATGAAGACCATAACACACACACACAGAGATAGAGAATTGACAAACTAAGACAGCTAGAAGAATCCAAAAAAGCAATACCTTGAAGCCTGAAGGGCTAGGGCTTTCTAAAAAGCCATCTTCTAATGCCAAGCTCTGTTTTGCAGCTTCAGAATCGCCATTTCTGATGGCATCACCGCCCAGTTTCACATCTGCAGTGATGCAAACAGTTTTCTCAAAGAAATCAAGTGGGAATTCCGGTTTTATTCCGGCGTAAGCTTTATTACTGAGGATGCCAGAACCCAGTTTTTTAACTTTCTCAGCAGCCAAACTTGCACAAGCATCAGATCCAGTAGGAACATGTGAGTATATCTGGAGGCTCCCATCATCATATAAAAAAAGACAGTGGACCTTGTCTTTGGACAGAGGCTTGTAAGCAGTTAACCCAACTAAATGCGAAGTCGAGCTTACAGCATGCTTCATGCACTGTGCCTGTAGTTCTTGAGGCCCCATGGAAACAGCAAGTGCAGCATTTGATTTGACACTGGAGAAGCAAACAAACAATCCACTGCCCATAAGCAACTCTCTCCATCGATGCAGACCTGCTGACCGCATCTTGCCATCTTGTTCCTCCTCATATACAAAAGACATCTCAGTTAGAGATGTTGCCTCAGGACTTAGTCGACCCATCAAAGTAGTGCCATCCTGATAGGATATGAAAAGTAATTTGTACGTGGAGGAGAAATACAAAGATGAGCCCTTTGCATTGATTTCTCTGTCCTGAATCTGAATAATTTCCTTCAATGGGGTGGCCCCAACATTACCCTCCACAGACAATTCTAACCTGAACAAGCTCCCTTGCTCAGAAAGAACAAGAAGAAACATTCTACCCTGGGAAGCCATAAGAAGTGTTGCATCAACAATTGTGTCTTCCTGCAATGTGAAGTAGTGCAGAGGGCTGATGTTGTCCTGCGATAGGTCGTATATCTTGATAAACCTGTTTGTCACAACCATTAACTTAACCTGAGAACCTGGAACCCAATCAATCCGTCTTATGTATGCACCTTCCAGAGCAAGTTCAATGGCAAGACGATCAGTCACTTCACCACGGGGATTTAAAGTAAGGACCTGACAATCTTCATACCCTGCTATGGCAAGATAATTCTCAATGACTGAATTGAAAGCAAGATGTACAATCTCAAAGCGAACAACATTTCTTGAGAGAGGCTTAACATTAGTCTTGTCTGCTGTTACTGGTGCTATGGTGGCTTGTCCAATTAATTGCCCAACATCAAATATAGCGACTTTGTCTCCTTCTCCAACAGCTAGTCGACCTCGATTACTGACACTGAGCAAAGATTTGACAAGAGAACCAGTAGCCAAATGTGATCTAAGCTCCTTGGCATTTGGATAGTCAGCCTTTATTTTCAGGTCCAACGACCCACCTTTATATGCCTTCTTCAACTGTAATAGCTCAACACCATAAGAAAGCACCTTGTCCTTGCCCAGGTTTATTTTCTTATCTTTGGAAAGATTAGATTCTCTTTTGCTCGTTATGGAAGGCAGCAGTGAAGAGCAAAGCTGAAGCACCTGACCCTCTACATCAAGTTCTTTAAGCAATAATGTGACCCCATCTTGAAGCTCTCTCGGAATCAATAACCTAGGTGAGTTATCTATATCTGAACACAAATCCTCATCCTGATCAGAATCACTCTGAGGCAACTGATCTGCATCCTCTGTGAACTGCAAAAAGGACGGGAAATTATTAGCACTACGCGTGGATGTAGTGTCACTTCCAGTGAATTTTCGAGGCTTCAAGCATTGGCAATTGCTTCCTCTAACACCACCAGCTCCACAGTCACAAAAAAAACGACTTGACCGAGAATAAACAACACGGTGACCCCGATGACAAACTTTTGCACACACAGAACAACAACCTTTTGATACTGTCAGATCACAAGTATAACAAAAGTACCAATGTTGTTCCATAAAATTGCTTCCACTGGATGTAAATGTGCAAACTTTTGAGGCAAGGGCCCTTTCACTATTGGTATCTTCCTCCTCATCCTTATCCATGCTAGCTACCTCACCATCAGATGTTCCATCATCCTCATCTTCATCCACAGATGTAGCATCACATTCAAGTGCTGTGGATCTCCCTTCTTGATTAGCAGAAAGAACCACAGGGTCAGAACTCTTCCTCGACCCTATTGGCTTTAGAGGAACAGCACCTGAGCCAAAACAACTGCCAGATAAAGACTTCCCTGAGAACTTGTCCAAAGTGTTCTTATAGGACCCGCAATCACTGGAGACATTTCCAAGAAAACCGAAGAGAAATTTCAGACCTGGAAGCAGACGCTCATCCCCAGCCAGCTTTTCCATCAACATCACAGTCCTTGTCAGAAGCAACTTAATTAAATGTTCCCCTCTAGAAAGTTGAACAACAAAATGGAAGTATGACTTGGCAATATGAACATCAAATTGCAAAAATGCAGTTTCAAGTGAAGCAAGCACAGCTTCAAACAAATGATGGTTTAGCTCTGTTGATTGCAACTCAAAAGGTGAGGATACAAGAGACAAAACAAAACTCATAGTTGTTTCTCTGAGAGAGACAGAATTAACCTTGGCATCGCTGGCCCCACTTGAAGCCTCCACTACACAACCTAAAAGCCGTTTCTCCAACCATCTAGACAGGCTAAGTGTATCCATTTCAAAAAAACTTTCCTGTATCTTCTTTCTGATATATGCAGAAAATTCTCCTGATAAGAGATCAACCAAGAAATTTAGCACCTTTCCATTGACCAGCTCAGAGGAACAATTATTCAGAGAACCAATTAGAACTAACAAATCACCACGTTGCAACCCACAGAAGTCCTTGACAGGTTCAGATACATCTTCTGCGCCAAGATAAAATTTGAATATTGCAGATTTCGATGGATCTTTTCTGAGGTTATCTGCAGTATCAATGGTCTTTGTGATTACCCATTCAAGCATACTGCTATCACGATCTTCACTGGCATTGATTTGTCTTAAAAACCCTTCCATGTGTTTTAGCAGAAATAGTTCAGTATAATCTGACAGTTCAAACTCAGCACTCAAGTTTCTAACAATAGATTCACATTCTCCGTGAATACTTTCAAAGATTCGATCAAATTTGATGATCATCACTGAATTCAGAATCTGGCAAAGTACCTCTTTCTCCCAGAAAATATTTTCTCTCATATCACCTAGTTTGAATAAGCTATCCAGAACAAAAATTACCTGTCTTATGCTAAGAATACAAGACAGAAGGATTGCACTTGGAGTTTCAAGATGAGAGGGAAAACCATGCAACATACATTCCCAGAACATTTTACGTAGAACACTAGGAGCCCTTTTCTCAACCATAGCATCCCAATTTGATAATAGGTCAGGAAGAGACTCCATGTGGTAAGAACCGACGCCACTTTTCTTGAGGAACTCATCCTTGAGGGATTTGTCAAAACTGGAGTGCTTTAGAAGTAATAGAGGTGAAAACCTTTTAGCATTATACTGGCCTCCATCAACGGTAGCAAGGAAAGCCTTTTGATATGCCAAGGAGTACCTGTTCAACAAGGATGATAGCATCTTCAACAGTAATGAAATTTGACCAGCCTCAATTAAGCTCGAAATCATGTCTTGTGCAACTGTGATGTATATGTTGTCCCTAGCTGTGCTGTCAATCCTGTATGGACTCACTCCAGGGACTCTTTTCTTAATGCAGTACTGTGAGATGCCAACTTTAAATATGGAAAGCACCAAAGACAACCAAAATCCACTCCTCAAGAAATCCCAGCCAAATTCCTGAACATCTTCTGACATCGCAGGAGAAGACAACTGCTGTAGCACATGAATCATAGAATCTCGAAGGTTCGTCGCCTTATCAATATCATCACAGTGGGCTACAAGTAAGTGGCTGATGTGAAAAAAATATATCATATTAGATATGTCCAGGGACTGATGGTTCAGTGTAGAGTGCATGCTAGGAACATCCAAACAAAGCAAGAATATATATCTTTCAACTATAAGGTCTTCTACTGCTGTAGCTTTCTTACCTTTCCAGAACCCCAGAATCCATGTAAAGGTTTCGCAAATATCATTCCAACTCAGGCCCAAGGATTCAATGGCCAATTCATCTCTGAAAAGGGAGGGAGGAAGAGCTGAAATGTCAATTAGTTGATTAATCAATGCACTAATAGAAGGCTCTGTTTCAATCCATGCACCAAACACATTTTTTACAGCAATAGATGCCCAAGATAACATCTGATCATTTACAACATTCGAACCAGAAATCGGAGCTTCCCTGAACTTCGACCTCAAATCTAGAAACAGAAATGAAGGATAACTATGTGGATAAAACATCATATGGCGAAGTAGTAAGATCAATCTTGAGACTAGTAAAGCCCAACATGATAATTGTGCAGTAGAAGAACCAGCAGATGGGACAAAAATTGTCCGGAGGGAAGAAAATATTAAGTTTGCTAGTTTTGCCTTCTCTCCATCTGATGATAAATGGAACGCCATAAGAAGAATCTCTATGTGAAACAATGATGGAAGTGTGCCCACAAATTCTCTAACTGTAGGACACTTTGAGAAAACAGCCTTTGCCTTGTCAACAATGAAACCAACAAATCCTTCATACAATTTTTCTCTCAACCGGCTACCAGACAAACCCGACCTTGAAAAAAGAGTGCGAGATAGCAAGGTTAGAGTCTGATGATTGTAAACAAAAGAATCATTTTCAACATTCAGAATTTGCTCAACAAGGTACTCTTCAAGGCTATCAGATAAAGCATGGCCAGTAAGAAGGTTGTGCAACAGCTCAAAGCAAAGCTCATGGCCAGGCCCAATCTTTCCCTCATCATGTGAAATAGCAAAGCTATCAGAAGACTTATCTTCTGAATAGCATCCCTGAGAATTAAGTATAGAAAGCAATATATCAATATGGTTCTCCTTCAGCCTTTTGCAGCCATCCTCGTAGAGAGAAGGAGACCAATCATGAGAGAAGACACATTCTTTCAGAAAATTCAATAATTCAGTGGCAGCTTGCATTGGCATGTTGCAATTGCTCGAACAAGAATTGACAATAACTGGCGGCTGCTCACATCCATCACTAGATCCCACTGATCGACCACCTTCAGAGAACAGGTTGCCAAAGAGGGCATCATCCTCATGGAAAACTGCATTTTCCACCTCTGGAGGGAAATTAGTTTTTGAACAACTAGAATGTGATCTCTCCACATTTGGCCTTAATTTTACCCCTTCATAGTGAAGGAAAAAAATAAGATGCATCAGATTGTCCATCCACTGAGTTGAAGGGGCAAATATAATTTTCAATAAGTCCTCAATTTTAAACCTTTTAAGCAAGGGAACCTTCTCAGAATGTACAACGCATGATGGGTAATCGTTCAGCAAATCAGTAGAGCTGCCAATAATATCTGTATCAAAGCCCTTCAAATCAAGAGACCGGTATGTTGGCTTCTTGAGATCCTGAATGAGTTTCAAGATGTAAAGAACAGACTGAGGGAAATATACCAGTGGAGGCTTGACGTTAGCAGCAGACTTGTTGTACCTCCAAAGAGAAGAGTCCAAGTTGTCTAATACTGAAGCAACTATACATGCTTGTATATTCTGAAATACATTGCTGTTGCAGAAAACAACTTGGACAAGAAGAAGAAACTCTTCCAACAGTGACAATATAAGACTCTCTGAACTACCCTCAATAGAAGCATGGTTATTTGCAAAATCGAAGCCAATCCTAAACAAGCCTACTAACACACCAGCACACAAAGCAACTTCTTGTAACAATGAGACATCATACCCAACATATGGAAAATCCTTCATCAGATTCCTGAGTAACTTCAAAATCCTCAAACCAAATGAAAACCTCCAGCAAAAATCTGGACCTGCCATTTTCCCATCATACAAAGATGACAAGTCAAGTAGCTCTTTGAAGCATAATATTAGACGACGAACACAATCCACATGGACAACAGCCCAGTGCTGAATCAGAAAAATCAAATTGTTCAAATCTTGGTTGGGACCACTGAATCCAAGAGCCTGCCACTCAGGCTGAATGCATTCTGATGCTAATGTAATCTGTAGTTGATCCACTGGTTTCTCTCCCTTTGAACAATCTGCACCTTCAACCAACAGAAAAAAGAGTTTGAAAGCATATGATCAACACAACATTCACCCATCAAAAACACACACACACAAACACACATATAAAGAAATGGAAGAGTTCAAAGAGTACACAATACCTTGAAGACCACATTTCATGTGGCATTCCAACTCGGTACTACAAGAATCATCTGAAGCCTTTGGCAACAGTTCTAGAAGGCTATCTACAGAGGAAGATTGAGATGGAACAGATACTTTATCAATTCCATCAACCAATGCCAACTCCATAAGTAGTAGCACATTACCCTAAGAAAAATATTACCAATATGTATCAGTAATGCTAAGATTAGAACTAAGAAATATCCAAAACAATGCACTCCACATAAGGTTGTGTAATTTTCAGAGATTTTGGAACAGAAAAAAAATAAGAGACAAGCCGTCGATCAACTTGCTGTCGAACATTTATTTTGGACTAGAAAATTTTGGGAAAAAAGAAGTTCGACATATTTTTATTTTTATTATTATGAGAATTAATATAGCAGCTTCTATGCAACAATAAGTAGCAGAATCGGACAGACAGTAATGCATGAAGTTCTCTCCTATTGGCAGCACAATCAGATTAAATGTAACATTAAAAGGCACTTGTGTAGACTAATATCTGGCCATGTAAACATGGCACAGAAGATCAATAAGATGTGAACCCAGAGGAATATGTGCTAGAGACCAATATATTCTAGAGAAAAATAATCAAATAAAGGCATATTTTCAAAACAATATGGAACAGAATCTGTATTCCAAACAAGCTACCTGTGACAATTCATCAATTTTCGAACGTAAATCCAAAGTGAAGATAACACAGAAAAACAAAATGATGAGCAATAGATTATCTTCAAAAAACTAAACCACCACATATTAAAAGTATTAAATGTATTCAATAGCATATATACATGCATGTATAAGTGGTTCAATCGCCAATGGACACAGCTATAAGCACTTAGTCTCTCGTTAAGTTCTGGGATTGGGGTTATGAGAAAAGGCTTATTATGTAGTTTATTGATGGACCAAAATAAATAAATATATGCATGCACATCACAAACTCTTAACCATGAGCTCTTCTTACACCCCGTTAGAGTTAAGCGGGTGCTCAAATTGGTGATACCTTGAAATCTCTAAGACTTAACCAAATCTTTCTTTTTTCATTTCCAATAGTCTCTTAAACAACCTATTAGAAGGTTAGGATATATATATATACACAACACATACATAATCTACGTAAGATAGTCCAGGTGTCAGTATCACAATAAAATCTATACCCACTAGTCATTGTATCACAATTAAACCCCACATTTCCTCTACATCTCTTTCCTTCTTCATATTATTCCTTTTCTTTAACATTCTCCAGCTTTGCCTCTTGTTTCCATTCCTTGTCAGTCTATAAATTCAAAAACAAAATTCATTGTCTGGGTATATTTTTTTTTTTTCTTTTTCATTCTTAGTAGGCACTCAGTTGTCAGTAATAACTTGGATCATATTTCTTGTGAATGATAAAGATAGGAGTTTATAGGCAGGTTTTCCAAGGTATTACCTCAATGATGAGTTTGTTTCATAGTGATTGATTTACATCGTAATGAATATGAGCAAATGATGGTGTTTCAGTTTAATTTCAATCTTTTGTAGAGTCCCATTGCCATGAATACTAAAGGATATTAGGTCAGTTCTTTTTTCCTTTCAACCTTTTTTGGATTCAAATTTTTTGACAGGCAGTTCCTTTTTTTTTTTTCAGAAGCTGGTAGTCAAGCCTTCTGTAGTGCTGAGACAGATAAAATACTGTTTGAGGAGTTCCTCTAGCAATTACAAATTAATTTCGATGATGGTTATTTGTGGGTCTAATACAAATATTTTGGGGGGTTAAATTGGTGATGGTATACAATGTTAGTGGCGATGGTTGATGAGCATTGACCAAAGCAGGCATCCTTAGCCTTCAGTCTCCCAGTTGAGCTTTATAATAAAAGGTAATGCCACAAGAATTACATCAGCAAACTAGCTGTGCTATCACATAGATGATGTACATAAAATATACTGATTCTGTAATGGACCCAAAATCATACACTTGATAAATCATGAGAATGTAATGCAATCAATCATAGAAGTACAGGCCTTATTTCACTGTACTAGGCATATATGCATGCATATTTCCAAGCATTACTATTATCAAAGTCAACCAACATTACAAATGGCCTTGAAGAACCTATTAAATTTCAACTTTCTTAAAACATCTAGAAGATTGTATTCCTTTTCAATAGAATTTATTGAACTTCAAATATCTTAAGGTTATAGAGTGTTGTCAACTCTCCCATTTAATATAAATTCATGCTTTCAAAAACTTCATCCACCCAACTTTCAAAAACTAACAATGAACTTTCCGCGGGGGCATTCAGTGGCTGCTTCCCCGAACTACCAGTACCAGGCAACTTTAACTTTTCACAGCACTAACTCCAATAAACAAAAATGGAAAGAAATATTGACAGAACACAAACTCTGCATGTAACTTATCAAAAGGAATAATAAAAGTGAATAAACCAAGCATTTCAACTGCTATTACTGAAGTTATAATGTGATAAACTATGACAGTTTTTATAACAACACATCCCTCAGTTTCACGTTTGATTATTTCATTCTTAAAAGTAATTCGTAACAAATTTAATTACACTATAGCAAAGAAAAATTACCAATGCATTTTGGTGCACGTAAAAGAGACAACAACAATAACAAACAGGATGATTTTGTTTTTCATTACAGAGAACTTTTTGCCTTTAAAATTGATTTTTTGTTTTCCAATCAAGTATTGCCCTTTCATTTTTACAGTATCAAATGGCCAATGGAAAAAGAAAAAGTCCGAAAAAAACAGAGCATTCAACCAATCAACACAACTAACAGCTTAACAATTATAAATAATTTGAATGAGCATTTACCGAGTACAAGTTATTTCAAATACAAAAAATGACACCAAATTTATCCTTGTAAGTACCATATGTGAATAGTGCACTAAATTGAACACTTGCTTGTGGTTGTTCAGGTAATTAAGTCCGAAGCAAAACTATCTGAGACAATCAGTTCTACAATTTTTCAGGACAGGGACAAACTTAGACCTTAGAAGAACTGAAGCCTTATCACTTTGTTTCAGTGGATTACTAGACCTCAAATTACATATTTCTAGGATTGAGCTTTAACAGGGAGATTATTTTTCATTTACATATTAATTATTTGCAAAACAAATAAACATGCAAAACAATTGTACTTTCTTCAGAAAGAGAGAGAGGATATATCAATTACATCATATTCAAAGTACTACTTATTCTACCACACAGGAAGAGCAACGCTGCCTAACTAATTCTATCAATAAAATAATTATTCAATGTAGAGATATGAAATTGTTTGCAAAATATCTAACATCCAGGATTTATCCAATAGTATCCTACATGTCACTTTTTCACATATCTTTCAATTCGAAGTAGAATCAGAAAAAATACAACTACTACAACACTTAAATACAATCACTGTGTTCATATAGATTAAAAATTAAGTAGAGAATACAAATAAAAAAAAAAAAAAAAAAAAAACTTATGTAAAGATAACATATAGTATGAAATAGATGAGCCACCACTAAATTGAAAGACTTATGCTTGTGTTTGTTGTCAGGCGTAATGAATTCCGAACAGCAAAACTATCTGAGACCAATCAGTTTCTACAATTTTTTCAGGACCCAGGGAACAAACTTAGACTCTTAGAAGAACTGAAGCCTTATCCCGTTGTGTTTTCAGTGGAATTACTAGACCTCAATTTAACAATATTTTTTAGAAGTGACTTTAACAGGGAGATTATTTTCCATTTACATATAATTATTGCAAAAAACAAATAAACATGCAAAACAAGAATTGTACTTTCTTATCAGAAAGAGAGAGAGGATATATAATTACATCATATTCAAACCAGATACTACTTATATTCTATACCACGACAAGTAAGAGCAATACGGCTGCTACTAATTCTATCAATAAAAAAATTATTCATTGTAAGATATGAAATTGTCTTGCAAAATATCTAACATCCAGGTATTACTCCAATAGTATCCTACATGTCACTTTTTCACATATCTTTCAATTCCCGAAGTAGACATCAGAAAAAATACAACTACTTGACAAACACTTTAAAATACAATCACATGTGTTCATATAAGATTAAAATTAAGTAAGAGAATACAAATAAATAAAAAAAAAAAAAAAAAAACCAGAAGCCAACAAATCCTGACGTGCTCAAGTCATGCACTGAACTCTGGACTTTCTTCCATAATTAACAAACTGCAAACTCCAACCAACCTGCTACCACACAGCAACCATGAAATACGGGCTCCGTTTGCTCCATCTGTTCATACTGCAATCACAAAATATGAGCAACACTCGAAAACCAAAACAAAAACAGAGAGAGCAATCAGGCTAAAGAACACAAAATGATATACAAATCAATAAGAAAAAACAACCACCGATAGAGATCTGGAAAAGCAAACAATGCTAACCCGATAGAAATGAGAGATTGAATCTCGAATCAAATGCCAGATTCGAACCCTAACTGTAAGTTTCTATTTGTACTAGAATCATGATCACATCAGCGAGCTTCGATCGTGAAACGCTCGTTTTATGATCAGAAATAAAAAGAGCTGGGGCCTGCTTGATGAATTCAGAAGCGGAAGTCTAGATAAAGAGATCGCTGAAGAAAAAAAAAAAAAAAAAAAAAAACCAGAAGCCACAAACCTGCGTGCTCAAGTCATCACTGGTAAGCTCTGACTTCTCCAAATAACAAACTGCAAACTCCAACAACTGCTCCACCACAGCAACAACTACGGGCTCCGTTTGCTCCACTGTTCATGCAATCACAAAATGAGCAACTCGAAAACCAAACAAAAACAGAGAAGCAATAGCTAAAAGACACAAATGATATACAATCAAATAAGAAAAACAACCCGATAGAGATCTGGAAGCAGAAACAATGGCTAGACCGAGAGAAATGAGAGATTGAATCTGCGAATCAGTCCATGATTCGAACCCTAACTTGTAGTTCTTATTTGTACTAGAATCATGATCACCATCAGCAGCTTCGATCGTGGAAACGCTTCGTTTTATGATCAGATAAAAGAGCTGGAGGCCTTGCTTGATTGAATTATCAGAGCGAAGTCTGAGAAAGAGATCGCTGGAAGAGAGTTTCTCTTCGCAGAGAGATTGGTGGAGTTTGGCCAAGTGGTCAGCCATTAGGGAGGGAAAATTGTTAGAGATCAGTGCTGCTGCATTAGAAATTTCAGGAAAGAGGGAGAGAGATGTTTTGGGCTTGTAATTTTAGTTAGAGAAGAAGAAATAGAAAGGAAAATGGATAATAAGTAAGCGGGGTAAGCGGGGATTTATAAGGGGGAGCAGCGGGTAAAGGCGGTGGATTTCTTTGTGTGCAAGTGAAAGTGAAAGTGGAAAGTGAAAGTGATTCTCTCAAGAGGATTTCTCTTTCCCAGTGTAATTTGAGATAATAAAAATAATATTCTTTAGTATAATAATGATGCGAGTTAAATTTGAAAAGGTCATTGATGAGGACATGAGGTTGGAGAATACAAAACATTAGAGAGCTAAAATTCATTGAAGTGATTTTGATGTGATGAGACTTGAATAATGGAATTTAAATGTTTCATAAATTTTTACTGTATAAATTATTTAATTTTATCATTTTAGAAAAGAAAAAAAAAATCTCACCTTCTTTTTCACTTATATTATGTTTATTATTAATCATGAAATTTAAAATAATGCATTCTATTTTTTAAATATATTTTAAACAAGTGGAATTGGTTTTTTCAAATGTGGAATTTCATCAATTCAAATGATCTTATAAACTTCACATTGAAATTATATACTTCCAATACAGGTTTCAAGTTCCGTGCTTCGTTTCATAGTAATAATTGTATTTTTTTTTTATTTTTTTTCCATTTAAATAAAACTAATTGAACTATAAGATCAATTAAAATTCAACTATTTCATAGCAATTAGGCTTTATTCCTTTCTTCTAGATAAGAGTGGAAAAAAAAAGCATTTCCTTTTTCTTTTTGCTGGAAGCAATATTACAAATAAAAAAACTAATAAGCTTTTTATGCACTATGAATGTACTTTTAAATGTATATTATATTAATATTAAAAAACATGAATATGTATACACAGAAGCATAACCAGTGGTAAGCATACAATACATTCACTTGCACAAAGGCCCAACCCACTGGTAATTATCCTGTTCAACAGTCTCTCCATTCTGGTTGCTTGTTGCTAGCCATTTCTCTTCAAATTTATTGAATAATAACATAATCTTTCTGATATAATAATATTAATAGGATGAAATATGAAGTATGAACTTCATTAAAAGAGTGATTTTTTTTTTATATATATATATACATAATAATGTATTTTATTTCTAGTACATCAAAAGAAAAGTAAGAAATATTGTGCCAAGAACTCGCAGGCAATTATATCTAGTGTTGTTTATAATCATATGCCAGTATAGATCAGTACATAATTCACATCGGATGGTAAACTAATATAATTTGATGGCTGCTTCATATCTGGCAATTAACTTTGCCCAATTAACAATATTTTGTTTTAACCAACAACGCTTCAACCCTATCTCGATCACTTCAATATACATCATGTCTTTAGTAACATTCAGATTTTGGATTATACTTTCTCAAATGCTAGAAAACCAAACAATAGTACTAATCGTATCTGCATATCAAATAAACAGAAAGTACGCAATAAGTACTCATTCTCCCACCAAAAATTTAAATAAGACATGTCAAATATCTGGACTACTAGATCAAAGCAAAACATACAACCGAAAAGAAATGCAAAATTCATCATCAGAACTTCCTTCTTGTCATAACTTCTCTCCACTACTCACTAGAAGCTCAGGACATTCTTTGTGCGGCCTCCTTTGCCAAGACTCTCTCTTTAGCTTTGGTTTTGGCCTGAGATTTGGAGCCCATAATACCACCACCCCATCTCTTACGGTGCTCGTCGAACTTGTCATTAAAGTTAGCCTAAATTCAATTCAAGAATAAACAAGTGAAAATTTTGAAACAGAAGTAATAAACTTGAAACCAAAAAATTACAATGAAGAATAGGGAGACCATGTTAAGAACAAAAGTAATGCTATGACAAAAATATCAGCCTAATATAGAATGAGCGAATCAAAACAGCATGCCTCTTCCAAGAAAGCAAAATTCATATGAAAGCACGAAAAAGAGCTGTTTTTAGATGGTGCTATAAATAATAGGCCACTATATTATCTTCTGCCATCACTGACATTAACTATTAAACTATTCATTACCTTGACTGCCTCCAAAATCTTGCTAAATTCCAATTTATCTTCATTCTTAACAGATGTGAGGCATAAAGCTGCAGCTGTTTTCTTGTGGACAATCTGTTTGTTTATCAGAGTTTCAACCACAACGGGTCAGTTTCCAAACAAACCTATTCATAAAGATAACTACATAGATGGAATGAGTGCAGAAAGTTCACCGCTCCAAGACGTGATTTGCCCTTCACAATTGCGTAAGGGACCTCCATTTTCCGGCACAAGGCAGGTAACCAAACAACAAGCTCAATAGGATCGACATCATGTGCAATGACCACCAATTGAGCCTTGTTCTACAAGCAAAATAGAGTTTTGTTCAGAAGAAAAATTATAGCATGGAGTGACACTACCATAAGCATGCAAGTACTGATCATTCAATATACTACTCTAAAAGAACTAACAAAAGTAAACAAAATCAAAGAGCATAAAACATAAAATGTATTAGATAGCAAATATTAAGATGTAGAGAAAAGAAGAAGGTAAGGTAAAGGCTGAAATTAACCGACATAAAATAAAATTTCTAACACATCCTTAATCACAAATATGACAAAAGAACTCCCCAATTAGGTGTCCAGTGAGCATTATCAATTAATTACCTAGTGGGAAGGAAAAATGAGCGAGGAACAAAATAGATACCTGCTCAATGAGGTAAGTGACATGGTTAAGCCCATATTTAACAACAATGGGCTTCTTTGATTCCACAGTCTTCCCCTCAGCTTCAGCTTGTGCTCTCTGAAGAAGCCTTTCCTTCTTTGCTGCCTTATCCTCAGGTCTATATTTGAGCAACAACTTAAAGAGTTGGGTTGCTGTAACATAAAACAATCACAAAAGGTTGAACAAGTTGGCATCAGCAAAATCAACTGCAGTTGCCATGTAAAGTAATCACAATATCTCCAGCCTAACACCATGATATTGACAGCATTCATGCGCATTATTCATGCAAACTTAAGATGCATGATAATCCCCTGAAATAACATAAAATTTAATCACAGTTTCTAGGACAGAAACAAAAATCCTACCAAGATTCTTGTCAAGTGTCTTTGTAAACTGATTCACGGCAGGAGGAACCTTCAGGCGTTGCTTCAGAATCCTCCTTTGCCTCTGGATACGAACAACATGAGGCCACTTGACAAATCTAGTTAAATCTTTCTTCGGTGGCAGGGCACCGCCAATTCCAAACTGTTTGGGTCGCTTCTCAAACAAAGGGTTGAGAACCTTTTCCTACAATTATCAAGTCAATGAAATAATTAGTTTTAGATCTGAAGAACATATCAAACTTACAAATTGAATAGAAAACTGAAGTAACATCATATGCAGAAAATATTATGCGAGTGTGTTGTGAGACAGATGGAGAGAGACTACTTACAGGCTTCTTCTTTGCCAAAGCTGGGGTCTTTACACCTTTTTTCGGAGCCTGTAACAAATATAAGACACGGAGAGGAAATGAAACAAAACAGGACACATAAATCAAGAAAACCAATATACAGGACTTCAATAGAGTAATACAATTCGAATAGCAATTGCACAAAAAAATAAAAACAAAATTTCTTAAAGGTAAAACTTTTCTAGGTTGGTTAATATTTAATAATACATATTTCCTATGCAGATGTCCAGTGTTTATACGCCCAACTATTCCAGCATAATAAGCAACAAGACAACAACAATTGAACTAAAAGTGCATTTTATTACACTACATTATATTCGATTAAGGCGTACCAAACCGAGCCTGCGTTCATTTAGATTACCATTATTACCCAGAAGAGGAAAATGATCTAGCTTTCAATAGCATATAAATTCACAAATCTATACATAAAGACTGTCATGGCTATGCAAAGAAGAGAGAAAGACTATGGTACCATGTGGCTTAGGTGATGTGCAGATCAAGACGAAGAACGCTAATCTCCGTTCAATGAAAGGCTGGAGCTCGAAGGGTAGCTCTAGCGGCAGGCTTGAGTATTTAAGTGCTTTGCGATAGCACCAAGAGGCAGAGTGTACAGACTGTATACGAAAACCCTAATTTCTTTTTTGCAGTCTAGTCCCTGTTCTTTTATTTATTATCTAGTAGCATGGAAATCTTTCTATTTTTACCTTTTAAGGCCGAAAAATATAGAATTATTTTATTATTATTATTTTTTTTTTTTTTTGAAAGAGCATATTTTTGTAATATCAAATGTTTTAGCTTATTCATTTTTATAATTATATTAAATTAACTTTCAATTAACCATTTTTAATTATTAATAAAATTGTAAGAATATCTAATAGTTTGAAATTTTATATGTATAATATATAAGAAAATTTAAATTATAAAATAATCTTAACAATTAAAATATAGCTATCAAAATCACTTGAAATATTTATAAAGTAGAAACAATATTTTAGTCAGGCCAAGTCCAATATTATTCGATGAATAGAAATAAATGGACCAACTTTAGTATAGAAGCTATTGGGCTGGCCCAAGATAAAAATGATATAAAAGACAATTTACTGTTAAAAGAAATTGAAGAATGACATTCTATAAAGCTATTGGGCTGCATCATTTATTTGTTTGTTATGTAATGTATCTTCAATTGGGCCAAGTCCATATTTTAGTAATTGATTATAGCATTCCAAACATTGTGGAACATGTTGTCGGCGTTGTTGCTGTTGTCTTTGTCATGGTTGCCTCGTTGCTTTATTCCTATTACCTTTGCTACTATTGCCGTTTGCCGAAAGTCAGTCGTCAGTTGTGGTCGTTGTGGTTGAATTATAGTAGTCGTTTCTTTTTAAGGTTATTTTTAATATTACTTAATTTATTTTATCAAAATTCAAATTATATTAATTTCTAAACTTTTCTAATATTCGATTTAATTTGAAACCTTATTTTTGATATTTATTAAGTTGCTCCGTAATAAGAGGGAGGTTCTCTTCAAACTATTTGATTAGCATTAGAAATAGTTGCTCGAGT